ACTTGGCAGCCTCCCTGCCTTCCTGTGGGAAACCAGAGCTAAACCTGACCAGAGACACTTGAGTCTAGTCCACACAGAACCTGCAGCAGGTAAGCCGTGCGTGGACAATCTCACCACGCTGGCCATTTGCCAAACTTTCCGAGGGGTCCTGGGCTCCGGAGTGGTCCCGGGTGGCAGGGAGAGAGGGGCTTCGAGCCAGTGCCCACTGCGTGTCCCTTGGCAGGCTGCCTGGCCTCTGTGAACCCCTTTCCACGTGGGTGAGGCTCCCCACCAGGCAGGGTCATCAAGGTAATGGAGCTGAGCCGTGGTGAGTTCTTAGCGAGAGTTGGCAAAAGCCAAATCAGACACGCTTCCGGTGGAAGAGACAGAGATGGAATCCCTCCCTGGGTGCACAGCCGCGGAGCCCGTGGAACTGGAACCCAGATCCAGGCTGCTTCTGCCAAGTCCAGTTCTCCGCCCGCCACCGCCACGCTGGTCTCCCGGAGGAGCTATGTTGCACCGTGGGCTCTAGAGCAACATGCTAATCAAAGGAGGGACTCTCAAATGCCATAATTTTTGTCCATGGAAAGACAAGAGAGCAGAACGCTCCCGGGACAGGTCACCTCCTCCCTGCCCCAAGGAAACTCCTGGCTGGGGCCTTGGGATGCGCCACCTCTCACCTGTGCCAGCCTGGTGGCTCCTGTACCAATGTGAGCACCACCCTGTCAGCCCGGGCTGTGCCGTCTGCCCCCGCACTCCCTGGGTACCTCCTCACCAGGGGCAGCTGGTCTTTTTTTTTTTTTTTTTTACTTTAAATTCAATTAGCCAACATAGAGTGTATCCTTAGTCTCAGATGTAGAGGTCAGCGATTCATCAGTTGCGTAGAACACCCAGTGCTCATCACATCACGTGCTCTCCTTCATGCCCATCACCCGGGTACCCCATTCCCCCACCCACCTCCCCTCCAGCAACCCTCAGTTCGTTTTCCGGACTCCAGAGTCTCTCATGGTTTGTCTCCCTCTCTGATTTCTTCCCATTCAGTTTTCCCTCCCTTCCCCTGTGGTCCTCCAAGCTGTTCCTTATGTTCCACATATGAGTGAAACCGTATGATAATTGTCTTTCTCTGCTTGACTTATTTCACTCAGCATTAATACCCTCCAGGTCCATCCACATCAATGTAAATGGTGGGTATTCATCCTTTCTGATGGCTGAGTAATGTTCCATTGTACATATGAACCACATCTTTATCCATTTGTCTGTTGAAGGACATCTCAACTCCTTCCACAGTTTGGCTACTGTGGACCTTGCTGCTATGAACATTGGGGTCCAGGTGCCCCTTTCGGGTCACTACATTTGTATCTTTGGGGTAACCCAATAGTGCAATTGCTGGGTTGTTTTAGGATATTGAGGTATGTTCCCTCTATCCCTACACTGTGGAGAGTTTTAATTAAGAAAGGATGCTGTATTTTGTCAAATGCTTTTTCTGCATGGGTTGAGAGGATCATATGGTTCTTGTCCTTTTATTAATGCAACGTATCACATTTATCAATTTGCGGATGTTGAACCAGCCTTGCAGCCCAGGAATAAATCCCACTTGGTCGTGGTGAATAATCCTTTTAATGTACTGTTGGATCCTATTGGCTAGTATCTTGGTGAGAATTTTGGCATCCATGTTCATCAGGGATATTGGTCTGTCATTCTCCTTTTTGAAGGGGCCTTTGTCTGGTTTGGGGATCAAGATAATGCTGGCATGGGCGTCTGGTCTTGTCCATGCATCTCCTCCCCAACCCTTGCTACTCTCCCAGCCACCCCTGACCATGTCCCTCTACAGCTTAAAATCCACATCACCTGTAGCGTAAAGGCTAGACCCCTTAACCCATCCCCTGCCTACCTGGGGCCTCACCCCCAACCCCTGCCCCCCACATCTCACCCTCAGTAATACCGAACTGCTTATACTCTCCACCCACCCCAACACACACACACACACACACACACACACACACACACACACACACAGTGTTCTGTTCCTCTATTATGCTTTGGCACAAGTTGTTGCCTCCAGCTAGAATTCCACATTCCCATCTAGCTGGTGAACTCCTACTCACACTTCAAAACCCGTCTACCCCGGAAAGCTTTCTCAGACACCTTTCTCCCTCACCATGGGGAGACAAAACTTTCTCTTTGGAGTGACCCTGTCCTTTGGTTTTATCCCACAGTATTTTGACGAGTATGTGTTAAGTAGGCTGAACTTGGTGAGAACAGGCCAGCACATCTGATTGAACGGGCCCCACATCCAGCACAGAGCTGGGCACGGAGAGGCGCTCAGCAGTGGTGTGTGGCCCAGATGAAAGGCAGGACCCTGGGGCGCCTGGGTGGCTCAGTCGTTAGGCGTCTGCCTTCGGCTCAGGTCATGGTCCCAGGGTCCTGGGATCGAGCCCCGCATCGGGCTCCCTGCTCCACGGGGAAGCCTGCTTCTCCCTCTCCCGCTCCCCTGCTTGTGTTCCCTCTCTCGCTGTGTCTCTCTGTCAGATAAATAAATAAAATCTTAAAAAAAAGAAAAGAAAAGAAAAGAAAGGCAGGATCCTCCCCTGAGTCTTGGCTGCGGGAAACATCTCTGTAGAAGTGTGGTGAAGGTTTGAGGGTCCCGGCGGAATCTCTCAGAGGGCCAGCCTTCCCCTGCTCCTGGCCTCCACTCTGGAGCAAAGGCCTCCTTTCTCTTCCAGGAACACCCTGGTCAGACGTGACTGCTGATGAAGGGATGCTTCGGGCTTCTGCGGACATCACGGCCCCATTCTTTGGCGTTGATGGGCTGTGTGAGCAGGGCTTCCCCGCAGAAGCCCCCAGCTCAACCCCCACCACCCTTGATCATCTGGGTGGGTCCAATATAATCGGATCCTTAACGCTGGAAGGGGGAAGCAGGAGAGTTGGCTTCAGAGCGCCGCGATGTGAGAAGGGCCACTGTGGGCTCTGAACCCGGAGGAAGGGCCACGAGCCACGAGCCACGGGAGGCAGGCAGCCTCAAGAAGTTGGGCAAGGCAAGAGAATGGGTTCTCCCCTGGAGCCTCCAGGAAGGATGCGGTGCTGCTGACATTTTGATTTAACCCGCAGGAGAGTACGTGTGTTGTTTTAAGCCATGGAGTTTGTGGGATGCTGTTACATCAGCCGCAGGATATGGGTACAGCCCATTTCACAGAGGAGCAGACTGAGGCCCAGAGAGGAGAAGGGGCTTGCCCAAGGCCACAGCCTGTGGCACTGCCAGGCCTCTGACTCACAGCCCGGTGCTGCTGGCCCTGCCCACTCTCCTCGAGTGACAGGGCACAGCCCCCAGCAAATACTCGCTGTCGATTCTGCACAAGTGTGAGGCTGGAAAAAGCACGCCACGTTCATTTTTCTGGGTGCACCAGCACATGAGCGAATTTGGTGGACAGAGATGCATATGTGCCTTGAAACCTGCAAAGCAACCAATTAACCAATTTCGGCAAAAGTTGGAACTTGCAGGAACCGAGGGCTCTGCCAACAGCCCCTGCTTGTCCTCCCAACCCCCTGCAGCAGGCGGCGGCCAGCCATGGATGTCGACGAGAGCTGCTATCCTTAGCTTCGTGGGCGCCCAGACCACGCACCTCCCCAGGGCACCTCCTGTGTCCGGAGCCAAGCCTGGTGGCTCTTGCCTATTTATGGTGTTCTCACCCATCTCTTTTCCTTTTGATCAGGGCAGGGTCTGCTCTCCTTGACGAGTTGCAGGTCTCAGCATGCACACCAAGTTCCAACAATGCATGACTCATCACCCCTGCCCCTGAGAGGGCCCTCCCCTGTCAGCAGGGCTGGTGGGGCCCCGGGGCTCCCCTGTTGCCTGGGTGGGACCCAGTTCCCCGGGCTGTGTCCCTGCATCCCCCAGATGACTCCCAGAGCCTCCAGGACCTCAGGCCAGCTTTTTCCCTAGGGATCTCGGTTGACCCCTCTATGAAAAGAGAGTTTCCCTTGGATGAGGGAATGCCTTTTCTCCCTGGCAGGTCTGGGGACCAGGAGCCCATTGGCACTGGTGGCTCCTCAGGGCTGGTACCTCTTGCCTTGAGGCCACATGGGCCTTTTTTTTTTAAGATTTTATTTATTTATTTGTCAGAGAGAGAGAGAACACACAAGCAGGGAGAGTGGCAGGCAGAAGGAGAAGCAGACTCCCCGCCGAGCAAGGAGCCCCATGCAGGACTCTATCCCAGGATGCTGGGATCACGGCCTGAGCCGAAGGCAGATGTCTAACTGACTGAGCCACCCAGGCGTCCCTGAAGCCACATGGGTCTTAGATCCCCCCGACCAGGTGCCAGATGGCCGAAGTTCCCATGCTTCCTGGAATTTGGGATTTCCTTGGAGACCGGATGACCCCGCCCCCAGGCTCTGTCGAGGGCACAAGAGGTGGGGGGTTCCTTCAGACTCAGGGTCAGGTTTCTCTGCTCCATGTTCTGCCCCAGCATCCCAGAGTGGCCGGCTCCCTCCCCTGGCCTCTGAGCAACTGTCCTTCCCTCCTCCTGTGGGGAACCAGAGCCAGGAGGCCTGTGTAGTGTTCCCAACACGTGCACGTGGCAGGTGGCTGGACTCTGGTGTTGAGTGCTAAGGCGCTGGGGTGAGCAGACATTCATTCCATCATGACAATGGCAAAAATAGCACCAGTCTTTCAGTCACTGCTCACAGGAGCTGGTCCCTCCCGGGTGGAATGTCCCTCCCTGCTGTATGCTTTTGTCTCTCAGACGAGGACATAGGACACCAAGGTCCCTCCCGGGGAGGGGACTCATGCAGGAAGAGGCAAAGCGACAGGGTTAGCTCCCAGGCTTTGCCGTCCCGGTGTGGAAAGCTTCCTTTTCATTTTTTTCTTTTTTAATTTTTAAGAAGATACAATTGGGATTTGGGGACTTTCTTTACTTCATCTGTAAAGTTCCTGTAGAGTCACTGATGAAATCATGCTTGCTCACGGTCACATGCTCATCTTCCCTGCACCCTGGGAATGTTTTGCAAGCTGAGCAAGAGAAATAAACAAGGAGGGGTGCCTCCCAGATCACTCTCTTCCCTCCAAGAGGGACATGGGGAGATAGAAGCTTCCTGAAGGAGACATGGGGGCCTTTTCCATCTCTGCCTCCCCATAGCCCCAGGGGGTGCTGCACACAGTGCTTCTCACTTAAACACTGGATCCTGCACACGCGGACCCTCTGTTGACAAAAAGGCTTCAAGGAAGAAGGCCCCGGGGTGTGCTCCCCAGGTGAGTCGAGGAAGGAGACCCTGGCGGGGGGGGGGGGGGGGGGCGGGGCCCTTTGTCGGGGCCTTTCCGCCCGGGGGGGGGGACCTTGATGGCTCTATGTCCCACAACCCCACTTTTACTCCAAGGGCAAGTCCTGCTCACTCCCTTCCAAAGCTCAGCCCAGCTCTGATGACTTCTCCCACCTCCACGGCCGTACCAGTCCCATCAGGATGCCTGGACTGTGGCCCTGGCCTTCCAAACCCACCTCCGATCAGCCCGGGTGATGGTGGGAAGGCAAAGATCTGCATCACTGCACCTCCTGTCCTCACTGCCTCAGGTCTTCCCATCAGACGCACAAGAAAAACCCAAGTCCTGGCTGGGGTCCACGTGAGCCCCTGCCACTCACTGTCCTCCACCCCCGTGGCCTCAGACACCCCTAGCACACACACACCTGCCTCAGGCCCTTTGCACTTGTTATCGGTCCTGCCTGGAATGTGCCTCTCCCAGATGTTCCCCAGGCCTGTTTGTCACCTGGCCGGGAGGCTTTTGCAGATCACCTCACCTCAAAGAGCTCTCCCACCACTCTGTCCCCATTACTCCACTTCATTTTCTTTAAAAAAATAAAGAATAATTTCAAAACAGATTTTGTGTGCAATTTAAAAAAATTTGTTTTTTTTTAAGATTTTATTTATTTATTAGACAGAGAGCGAGAGAGACAGAGCAGAAGCAGTGGGGAGTGGCAGAGGGAGAGGGAGAAGCAGGAAGCCCAATGCGAGACTCGATCCCAGGACGCTGGGATCATGACCTGAGCTGAAGGCAGATGCTTCACCAACGGACCCACCCGGGTGCCCCTGTGTGCAATTTCTTTAGGGAGAAATGTCTTGCCTTTTCTTCCTCCTTTTAAAAGGAAGGGAGGGTATTCAAAAAAGTCAAAAAGTGGAAACAAACCACATACCCATCAGGTGATGAATGGCTACACAAACATGGTGTATTCGTACAACAGGGTATCATACAGCCATAAAAGGAACAAAGTCCTGATTTGTGGAGGATCCTTGAAAACATGCTGCTCAGTGAAAGGAGCCAGCCACAAAAGGCCACAGATTGTAGGGTCCCATTTATAGGAGATGTCCACTTATAGCAGAGGCACAGAGTAGACAAGTGGTTACAGGGAGGTGGGGGGGAGACTGCTAATGGTATGAGCTTCTTTTCAGGGCGATGACAACGTTCTGGAATTTGACAGTGGTGCTGGTTGCACAACTTTGCAAATATACTAAAAAACACTGAGTCGTATACCTTAAAATGGGTGAATTTTATGCTGTGTAAAATATATCCTTTTCTTAAAAAGACTTTTTTATTTATTTGTCAGAGAGAGAGAGAGAGAGCACGAGCAGGGGGAGCGGCAAAGGCAGAGGGAGAAGCAGGCTCCCCACTGAGCAGGGAGCCCAACGCGGGACTCGATCCCAGGACCCAGAGGTCATGACCTGAGCCGAAGGCAGCTGCCCAGGCGTCCCTATGTAAAATATATCCTTAAAAAAAGAAGGGAGATATGCAGAGGGAAAAAGAATCAAGGAAGACGATGTGCTTCCCCACACTGGCTTCGAGATGTGGGTGTGGGGGGGCAGGAAATGACAGAATTAAGTACCTCCACACTGTGCGGGCCAGCCAAGTGCTGAGTCTTCGAGGCGGCACCGGCATCCCCCTCTCCCACCACCGAAGCAGTCTCGGCTCGGCTCCATCACTCCCTTCTGAGGCCTTCCTCCGTCCTTGGGAAGCCCCCTCGGGCCCTCTCCCTTCCCCAGCAGGGGCTCGGACTGGATTGTCCCTTCCTGGTCTGCCAGCTCAGGTCATTCTCTGGGGCTTGGTGACCAGATCAGACCCGAGGTGTTTGAGTTTGAATTCCAGCACCTGCACCGCGCCCCCCAGCCGCATGTGCCATGCGCTCTGAGCCTCAGTTTACCACGTGTCCAGCAGAGGGAGAGGGGCCCCCCCAGCCTGCGGAGAGCCTCAGGAGCCCCAGCTTGGCCGTGTGGTCAGGAGGCTGTGTGGCCCAGCAGGGGCTGCGTGCTCCCCGGGCTGCAGCAGCTGTGTGCGCACCGGTGCGCACACTCGGGCCTGTTGCCATCTGGCCATCTGCTCCCTGAGGGCGCTTGCTGGGCCCCTGTGCAGGGAGGGAGGCGGTGGGGCAGCGACTGTGCTCGGCCACTAGAGGCCAGTGCAGCCCGAGGGGGGCCAGGTGAGCCTGCCAGGACTGGCTCAGAGCTCTCGGGGCCAAGGGTGGGGCCGAGCAGCCCGGACCATGTGCCCACCACCCTGTGCTCATGGTACTTCCAGTCAGCCTGGAGCCTGGGACTGCAGGGCCTGCCCAGCCAGCTTGCAGAGGCTTCCAGAACCTTCCTGGAGCTGAGGCCTGGCCAGGGACAGGCCTGGTGCAGACTGGTCAGGTGCTGGCCTCTCAGGGAGCACCTGAGGGAGTCAAGCTCCCAGGAGGGACCCTCACCTAGGGGCCCCAAGGGCCCCAAACCCCAGTCCAAGGGCCTGGGAGCCTGAAACAAACTGCAGCATTTCTATTTAGAAGGTTCTGGCAACTTGCAACCAGGACAACAATTTGATTTTTTGTCATAACGATATCTGGGTCGTTCAGGGAAGCGCTAGTACATGAAAGTTCTTGACTAGGTTCCAAATCCCCTCACCCTCCTGCTTCTACCAACATTCTGATTCAGTCAAGGTCTCCTCTTTGTTCCCTGTTTTGACTTTTGGGATTTCCCACCAGTCAAACCCCACAAAAGGCGAGGGTCACTTGAGGGGGGGGGGTTGGAAGAGGGGCTTGACCAACTGTTTGTAAGAGGTTTTTCCCTCTGAATTCCAAAAAACAGAGCAAAGTGGGGGTCCCAGCTTTTCGGCTCTCCCCACTGGGGTGTTTCTTTGATCTCCTCACCACTTAAAGGTTGGCTTAGGGATTTTTTTGTGCAAGGAACAGATTCTGGAATTCACATGAGTTCTGGTTTGAGCCCCTAGCAAAAAATGTTTCGAGATGCTTTTTTTTTTCATTTTTTTTCGAGATGCTTTTGAGAACATGAACAACACTAGAGATCCACAGCTTCTGCCTTAAAAAAATTTTTTTTTTTTTTTAAAAGACTCACTTTGGTGGCTCAGTCGGTTAAGCGGCTGCCTGCGGCTCAGGTCATGATCCCAGGGTCCCGGGATCGAGTCCTGCATCGGGTACCTTGCTCAGCGGGGAGTCTGCTTCTCCCTCTCCTTCTGCGGCTCCCCCTGCTTGTGCTCTCTCACTTTTCTCTGTCAAATAAATACGTAAAATATCTTTAAAAAAAAAAAGTGTAGAGCACTCACTTCCCGTGCAGCAGTGCAGGGGTGTGTGCAAAATATAAATGTCAATTACATTCCCTGCGCCCCTGAGCCTGAGGAGGGGTGGCCGCCCCAGGCACAGGCACCATTGCTAACCTCCAAGCTCCTCCCGCTCAGGTGTGACCCCCCCCCAGCCCCAGAGGGGCCCCAGAGTCAATGAGTGGGTGCTTGGTCCGCAGAGATGGTGGGCATGTGGGGGAAAGGAGGAGAGTGCTTAGAGCCACCCCCTGGGGGAAGGGCAGGTGAGCTGGACACAGCCCCACAGGTGGTACCAGACAGGCGACTTGGGAGCCCCTCCCAGGCACCTGCCTTCGCCGACCCCAGCGAAGGGGGATTTCTGTGAACACAGAGTGGACTGGAACAGGGGCTGAGCACAGACAGCCCCGCCGTGCCCCACCCCCCACCCCCCCACCCCCACCCCGCCCAGGGAAACTGGATGAAAGTCCCAGTCTCTGCCTCTCCATGAGCAGGCACATGGGCATGCAGCCTTCAGCTCACGATTGCAGCCATGAGCACTGAGACAGTGATGAAACAGTCATGACCCATGACCTCGTGCTCAGTGACAATGACACAGTAGCAGGAAAGGTTAGCCCCCTGGTAGATCTGCACCCAAACCAGGCCTGTGCCAGTCTCTTTATGCAGTCTTTTTTTTTTTTTTTCCTTTTTACGTAATCTCTACACCCAACGTGGGGCTTGAACTCACGACCCCGAGATCAAGAGTTGCACACTCCACCGACTGAGCCGGCCCGGGGCCCCTCTGCGGCCTTAATAATCCTGCAACAACGCTAGGAATCTAGACTACTCTTGTCTCCAGTATCTCCTCCAGACTTAGGCCCTGGTGAAGGTCACACAACTACTTAGTGGCAGAACTGGAACGTGACCCCTGCAAGGCGCCAGCCCTTTGAGATGTATGCTGTTCTGCTCACGCAGCTGGAGTCCCTGCGTCAGGGCCGGAGCTGGAGCCCGTTTTTACCCCCATCCTCACTCTTTCATGCTGTGGGCACTGCACGCGTGCACATAGGACGGTGCATCAAGCATGTGTGCAGAGTTCAGTGTACGATCATAAGGCCAACACTCCACGAACCCTTGTGTGCCCTGCTCCCCAGCGCTTCTCCTGACCTGGCTCAGGTCACCCCCTTGCAGTTCCCGAATCTTCCGCCTGTTGGGGTGCATTACTAAACATGCAGTTTGGGCCTGCCTGGGACCCGTATGTGACTGGAACAGCGGCGTCTCTCAGCCTTTCCCGGGACATCACGTTAGGGAGATCTGTCCATGCGTTCCTTCCTTCCCCGTCCCTGGGACCAGGAAGTGGCACAGAGCAGTCCCTGTGGTTACCTTGCAGCCTGCAGGTGTCTTATTCCAGGAAGGCATGCCCACACCCAAACTCCTTCACTGCATTTGAATTTTCAAAAACCAGCAAGCACAGTGCAACAGAACCTTTTGTCTATATAAACCCAACCCAACCTGTTTAAAGTCGCATTGAGAGAGAGGCACTCTGGAGTTCTCTCCAGCCCTAGCCCCCTGCTCTCCCCTCACCCTGGCCTTGGAGCTTTCCACTGCAAAGCTCTAGCCTCCAGGTCCTCACTGCACTGCCCACCCTCAAACTGCTGCCCTTTGATCCTCCCCATCTGAGAGGAAGGACAGACCCAGGATGTCCTGGACACTCACACTTGAAGGATGAACTTTTCTCCTTCCTCCCCCTCCCTCCACGCACACATTTCCCCCAAAGGGCTTGCCAGTGGAAACTCCCAGATTAAAAGATTCTAAAGCAAATCTACATTTAAGGCTAATAACCTCTTTAAGTCTTGCTAATGGGAAGAAAATGCTCATATTTGGCTTTGGCCTAAAGACACTGTAATAGGTAACTCTGAGCAATATTGTTTGAGTTAATTTTTTGCCGCCCCCACCCCCATCTGCACTCAGCTCGGAAATGCAGCGGCAGGAACCTCCCGGGTCCAAAGGACCTGCCTGAACATCTCTCACCCCTGTCTTTCTACCGGACCAACCCGGTGGAGCCTTCCGGGATAAAGAGACTCCACTTGACGGGGCCGAGGGGCTGGAGAGGGGTCCTGGAGCCCCGAGCTCTACCGAGGGCAAGTGCATCTTCCCAGCCGGGGGTGGCACAGTCCTAAGGCCCCTCGGGAGGTGGGGTGTCATGCAGTCCTAACCCCCGTCCTCCAAGCCGTGCTCCGCAGGAGGGGGGGTCCGCTTAGTATAAAGCTCCCACCCCCATCTGTTTCCCGCAGAAGGCTGAGGTGCGGAGGTCAGTTTCAAAGCC